GAGAAATCCTCAATCCTGGGGCAGACCTAAAACATTCAAAGCTTAAGAAGTCTTCACTGTTACACTAGATATGTGCTCAGAATCCAGTTAGGGCTAGCATGAAAAGTAGCCAAACAAAGCCAGAGATAAAACAAAATGCCAAGATATTTTACAGTGTTTCAAACAGAAGGTGATAGATATTCAATAGCCTGTCAAAAGCAAATAACAGCCTCCCTTTGCTCTGAGACTGTGATCTACACAAAGGAAGTAGATGAAAAAACACAACAAGGCTGCACAAACACAGCAGAAGACATGCTGCTTTGATGATTTATGTATGAGAGACAAAAAATAATTCGACTGAAGGATAAATGTAACAGTAGACATCTGATCTGCCACAAGGCTAAACAAAAACCAGCACCTCAGAAGCAGTTTTGTGAAAGTCAGGATCCTGCTCTAACATTTCTTTCCAGAAAAAAACGTCTTAGGATTAAGGTAGACATAGGAAACTGAGCACAACAGAACCTGAGCTTGAGCCACGAAAACCTCAGAGTCATCTCTGTTGGTTTTTCACAATCATCCACTCTCGAGACATTCACTCGAGAGTTAACCTAACATGCTGCGATGCAGTGATTGCATCATCTCTTAGGGCAGACAGCACCCTCTGACTTAGAAAAGCCAGGCTTCTGTGTTCCAGGTTTAGTAGGTTTCTATCAATAAGAAGAAATGGCAGACTTGGCCTTGTATTCTATACCAGGATTGTTTGCAGGGCTGACTTTAAATATTGGCAATTAAAAATGTATGCTCAAACTTTTTTTTTTTTTAAAGAAACTCAAATCAATCAAGAGGAAAAACCTTTAAGGCAATCAGTAAAGAATACAATTTGGGTACTTTCAGAGATCTGATGATAAATTTAAAATAATGAAATCTGTTCAAGGTTATGGAGCTTGAAATAATTTTCACAATTGCAGAGTACCAGAAAAGCACAGTTAGGTTAGCTAAATTGAGTTGAATTCTAGTTGAAAATTGTGTTTCATTAAAATGCTTGCTCTTGATTCAGCCGGCAGACCTCTCCTGAGTCAGGGATAACTGTCTTCAGTTTGTATCCTGGAGACACTTACTTTTCTAATTAGGTGGTGAGTGGCATTTGAAGTTAACCTATTCAAATGTCAGAAAGGCTGTTAGTAGTCATGCCTGCTAATAAATACAGTTCAGACATTCTTAAAAGTTATAATTCAGTTCAAGGCCAACCTGGTCTACAAAGTGAGTCCCAGGACAGCCAGGGATATTATACAGAGAAAACCTGTCTCAAAAAACCCAAAAATCAACCCCCATCCTCCCCCAAAAAAGTTATAATTCTTCTAATAAACGATCCCTGGGATCTGAAAATCCAAAAGAGACTTTGTTTCAAGTGCATATAGCAATTATCCACATATTTATGAGTTCCAAGAACATGATCTAGGTTCCCTTTCCAGGTTAGTTAAAGGAGAATTTCTAGAAAAGCCAAGAACTTTAAATTAAATTAGGCTGAAAGAACTTGAAATTAAATTTTGAACGTAAGCTACAGGATATGCCTGGGTTTTGGAGACTGAAGGCCACTGGTTATGATGCAATTGGGTTACAGAGGAACATTAAAGCATACTGCTTTTAACAGAACAGATGAAATGGAAACCAATGTGTGATTATGTAAAAAATGAAATATTATTAAGTATAATAAATTATTATAGTAAAGAAATAAAATGCTGTGGGTATAAGTAAACAGCTTACCATTGGCATTTCTTATGTTCAAATCAAACATAAGTGCCTTCTATTGTGAAGAAGAATCAATTTTATAAAGCCATCAATGAAAGGGAGTCTCCTACATCAATTCCCATTGCTACTTTTACCCCATTGAACTTGAGTAACCATTTTGTTTGTTTGTTTTCATTCTGTTTCTAGTTTCCTTTTTGTGAGTATTGAAACTGGGGTCTCTATTTATGCTAGCCATTCTAACCTCCTGTATTACTTTAAAGATTTTTATGCTATTATTTTTAATTATGCATATAAATGTATGGGTTTCCAAAGTGACCAGAGGTAGCAGATACCCTGGAGCTGGCTTTAAAAACAGTTTTGAGTCTGCTGAGGTGAGTTCTAGGAACTAAATTCTGAACTTCCTAAGTGCTTTTTGTTGATTTGTTGTGCTAGGGCTCAAACCCAAGGCTTTTAGAAAGCCTATCAAGCTCTGTCTGCAGCCAAACATTCTTAGAAGTGAATTCTTGATTAAGCTTGAATTCATCTATGATAACTGTACCTGAAACAATCAAAGGCATGGAAAATGTTCATACTTTTGTGATAGTTTGGATTCTGATGGCTCCCTTTTTATCAATTATCTATATACAATCGGAAACTGCAGCAACTCATTGTCAAGTGTACTTCAAATTTTTTATTATGTGGTTTAATAAAATTATGTGGTCCACCCCACCATCACAATCTATTGCATAATCATAATGCATAGCTTAAGAATGTATTTTGTTGTGTGATTCTTCGATGCTTTAAACAAAACTAAGATGTTGCTGGGAAGAATTTGTAACACATTAGAGATCTCCTTTCAATGTGCATTGTACAAAATATTAATTATGTGAGAGACTATTTGTAAGACAGTTTTGTAGTCGAATACTGGAGAAATGCCAGACAGAATATCTTCCCTCATTTTGAAGATCCTTTGGAGGGCATATTCACCGAAGTAAAGAAGTTGCTTAACAATCGCCCACTACTGTCAGCTGCAGGCCTGCAGCAAGACTTCACATAGCGAGCAGCCAGAAGAAATGAGTGAATGGATGCGTGAGTGAACCAAGGTTGTAAACAATTCTTCACTGAAGAAACTTTAATGATTGTCCACTCAGAGAATCTTATACCAATTAATGAAAGATTACAGTAATCCTTTTTTTCCTATTAGCAAACAAGCAGAAAAATGAAGGAAGAAAAATAAAACAAACATGAAAATTCTACTTATGTTAAGAATTTTGTTATCACAAATATAAGAGAAAATCCAGAAGTTTCTTGGGAATGCCTCCCCCCCCCCTTTTTTTTGGATTTTTTTTTTTTTCGAGACAGGCTTTCTCTGCAGCTTTTGGTTCCTGTCCTGGAACTAGCTCTTGTAGACCAGGCTGGCCTCGAACTCACAGAGATCCACCTGCCTCTGCCTCCTGAGTGCTGGGATTAAAGGCGTGTGCCACCACCGCCTGACACCCCCCCTTTTTTAAAGTTAAGAATTCTTTTAATACAATCTTTTCTCATTTTATATAGCATATCTCCATTTCCACTCCTACCTCTCCTCCTGTTCCTCCCTTCCTCTCTCCCGAACCCCCCATCCACTCCTCAGAAAGAATAAGACATCCCATGAGAGTTAACAAAGTCTGACTCTCCACTTGGAGGCCAGGCCAAGGCCCTCCCCCCAGCCCAAGAGAGGGAGGAATGATAATATGAGCAAAGAGGTCAAGACCACAATGGTGATACTCACAGAAACAGCTGACTAGAGCTAGCGAGAGCTCACTGACTCTGGAGTGATAGAGAGGGAACCTGCATAGGACCAAGCTAAGCTCACTGAATGTGGGGGACAGTTGTGAGACTTGGGCAGTCTGTGAGGTCACTGGCAGTGGGACCAAAATTTATCCAAAGTGCTTGAACTGGAGTCTTGGATTTCCTTCTTTACATAGAGAAGATTTCAGAAGCAGTGTGAATGAACACCCCACTTCATAGAATACAGTGTCTCCTCATTCTCAACATTAGGACTTAGGATCAAAAGATACTTATCAGCAACCCTCTCTGGAAAATCTTGTATTGGAGAATTGCTAATATCTTTTGAAATCTATGATTTTAGTTTTTACAGCTGGAATTCACATGGCCATTTGTAAATGTTTCCATTTACTGATTTAGTGCAATAACGTATAAGAAATTATTGTATCAAAACACTAGGCAAATATGAAAGAGTGGACAGCTGGTATAAAAACACTTACAGAAAAATCAACCTATTTTTCTTTTACATGGACTGGTGTAAATTCCAGAGATGTGCACATTAATCCGAGAATGCACAGACTGTTATTTAATGCTGATTGAGTAACAACTATTTTCAACAATTACAAGTGAAAGAGCCTCAAATATATCACCTATCTATCAACTATTTTTCTTCCCACCCCGTCACTTTTTGTTGTTGTTATTTTGAGACAAGCTCGTCTTACTTATCAGAGACTGATCTTTAACTCATGATCATACTACTTCAGTCTCATGAGTGAGTTTCAGCTAGTAAACCATATGAAAATACAGAAGTAACCCATACATAGACCATGATACTGTCAAAGATTTTTCATGTCTTAGACACTGCTAGCAAGTTGCAATCCTTTCTTGAATGAAACAGAGAATTTCTCACTAATTTTTTATTAATACCTAGCATAAACATGAGTAAATATAATTTAATAAAATATATTTTAAAACATAATTAATATTTTTTCATTGTATTATCTAAAAACTCTTTTCTTTAAAATTCCAAGTACCAGTATAGATATTTCTAAGTTTTCTTAGAAAAACTTTGTTACTGTTACGATGTTCTTTTGAATATTTAAATTTTGTCCTTTGCATCACAGAACAGATGAAAAGATCTAGCATAATATATTTGCATGCTTACCGACCTACTTTTTAATTATATATGAAAAGCAACCAACCATAAATTTCAGAGAAAAAAAAAACCTTGCGCAGATAACTACACACACTGCCCTAAGGGAAAGGGCAAGAAAATGCACCAATACCTGTGGCTGACGTCTGACCTCATAGAGTGGTGAGGCCATGCACTTGGATAGACAAACACAAGGATTAGGATTTCCTTTTATTTCTTTACTCAACCACTGAATTCTTCACATGTTAAACACCAATCAGAATGAAATCTAACCCTCTTTTGTCTTTGGATTCCCACATGCCCTTTTAGCCTATTAAAATGAGTACAATGAATTGGGGTCTACGAGTATCTCCAGAGGAAAGGGATGCACTCCTACCTCCGTTATCCTTGAGATGCAGTGCTATCTTCGTGTCATCTGAAAGAGAAGGTGACCGTTATCACAGCAGAAAAAGATTTCAACGGTGCACAAATCTCTTACTTGGCAACTGTCTTACTCAAACACTTGGATTTTATACTTTAGAGACTAATTTCTAGCTCAGTGGGAAAACAGGATCCAACTTTACATGATACAGCAATAAAATTTATCTCAGAGATGGTTTAGGCTAAAATATTAGTAGCACATCTGACCCTCGATTCTGTGAGAATGATAAAAAAAATGTAGCTATAGCATGAAATAGATTTTTAACTTTCAAAAACAACTTACAATAGGACTTTATTTGAAATCAAGACTGAGATTATTACAAAGTAAAAGGAATAATTAGGATTTATCAATAGTTAAAGGTTTATCTTAATTTGTATCAGTAATGAATAAATTTATATCTGAATGGCTAAACAGGGGGCATAATGTTCCATTTCAAAAGTTATATTTTATTATGAAAGATAGAGTTTCAATTAAAGCACGTTTTTCACAATCTTTAGAATAATGACCCCAAATAATTTGAATTTAAGTATATGTTTCTTTTAAGAGAAACACAATGCAGTTGGCATTTGCCCTCCACCTCTATGTGTTCCACTTTATAATACCCACTTAAATTTCAATCAAGAGCTAAGGCTTAAAATTTTACTTCTTATTCCAAAGAAAGCAACATTTATGACAATAAGACATGAAACTATGCTCTTCCCTAAAGAAATATTCTGCCCCCTACTCCTTATTATACCATATAGAATAGAAAGTTATCAAATAATGACTATTATAGTTTTTCCACACATGAATTTTACCTAGGCATTAGCACTTTAGTAGTTCCTTCTTCTCCATAAAAGGAGGTTCAAGAACAACTTTGTTCAGTGTCTCTGTGACTGACTGCATTCAGGAAACACCACTGCATAACTGTATGTGAGTAAAATGATCTATTGTTCAGAATTTCATAACAATAGTCACTTATGTGCATATTTCTTTTGATTAATGTATCAAGATTGTAGTTTGATGACTATAAATTTAGCCACATGAAAAGAAGTGAATTTTTCTTTTCTAAGGGGAAAAAAAGAAGCCAGATTATGGATAATCACTAAGGCTTAACAAGAGGAACAGTATATATAAAGAATGCAGTGTGCTTTCTGCCCATGGTAACTCTGAATCTGAAAAATTTTTCGAGCATTTAATTAGCCAAACAATATTCTTTTTCTCCAGTAAGCAGGTGTTACCCAGCAATCTTTTCTTTCCTATAAAAACAAGCAAACAATCTTGTGGGCACCTTCCGTGGGCAGGCTGGTGGGCAGCTGGGATGTCACGGCTCTCCTGGTGGTGGTCAGGACCCTGAACTGCGTGGTGGTTGTGTGTGAGGTTGTGGTGGTTTGAGAACTCTCCGCTGGCTCTGCTCTCTCACACATCTTCTCCTTTGACTGAAAGGAGACAAAGAAGTGAAAATCAGCAGGCTGAACACATTTTGTCTTTTAAACTTACATCAAAGAAATCATACTTAAACTACAAAACAGCTCAAATTGATGTCAAGAGTAAATTATTTTTGTGTCAGACTCTTCATAGATTTTGCTAATTTATGAAGTATATAAGATAAGAGAGGAGGAGGATGCAACAAATTACACACATCTGCAGATATTTGGAGTCACAATTTCACCTGTGTTTAACCTTCTGTACCATTCTTTATCTTACCTTTTTTAATTTTATAGAAATATCTATGAAATATGTAACATCAAAAGGCGAAATAAGTTAAAGTTAGAAGAAAAGCGTGTACCTATAGAAAAGGTTTCACACCTCTTTGGGTCTACAAAGCGACAATGTTATATCTTAGGCATTCCCTCTTTGCTCTAGGCTATTGTACAACCTCAAAATTAATCTTTTCCAGGTTGAAGAGAAATTTTAAATTTTGTTTTCTCTCATGAAATATCCAAAACCACATAGATAAATCTTTCATTTAAACCCAGTCTAATTCTTCTTAGCAGGGCTCTACAGAAGATACCAGAAGAAACACACTTCATTTTTTTTTTAAAATTTATAACCTACAAAAATAAATCCCAGTTTTCACTAGTAAGGACTCTTATTCTAGAGCTAGAAGTTGATGTTGTGAACATCCTCTTTGTGCTTCAAAGATTTCATTGCTCTGATAAAAGGTGGCTGCTCTAAATATGGGCAGTACTCATGACATATTTGGAAACTTTTAGTAAGTAACTGTCTTGTCATGAATGGAGAATGAAGAATCTTTTCACAGTGAATGAAGAGTTTTTGTAAAGATGCTTTATCATTAGTCAGATATACTATAGGTTTAGGTTTATTCTCTGCTCAGATTACTGCATTATCTCAGCTTCAAAGATTCCTTTAGCTCTGACTCCTCCCCAGCTATAATCCACAATGTCTGATATTCAGATAGAAATCTCTAGAACTGTTCTCAAAGCTCGTGTATCTTACTTCTTTCCATATGTACTTTACACTGAGATTCTTCTCCCTTGAATATACAATAATTGCTCTGTTTTAATGTCCTTTCATCTACCACCGCCACCTAACTTTTCAGTACCTTTAGGTATCACATATTTTAAGCACCTTTTTGGAAAATACCCTATTCTGCACAAAGCAAAAGTACTTCCTTAGCCTTGCACATGACAAAGGCAGGCAGGACAGAACAGTCATCCCCAAACTCCACAAACTAATCAGCATTCTCACTCCGAAAATCAACAGTGCCTGGAAATGGTTTCGCATATGGATAATCATATGTTCAAAGGCCGTGGTACCAGCTCACTCTACTTAACAACAACAATCCCAGAGTAATTCTCCCTGTTATGCCCTGGGTTCACCTTTCATTTCCTTGATGAAAGAGGCCATCAGTAGGATTTCTTTACAAATCAAACTTGTTTCTGCCTGAGCATATCCCCCTTCCTTCTATTCTAGAGGACAGCTATCATGCCTCATATTTTTTCCAGCTGCATTCAATTCAGTTCACTCCCTTGGGTTTTGTGAACTTGGTATTTGGATATTGTTTTTTTCTTTTCAACATCAGTCATGTGTAATTCTCTGATGACTTGTTACTGCTAACAATCTAACATAAGGTAAGTATGCCTAATCTTTCACTCTATCTAGACCCCCACTGCTCCACCATACATCCTGGCACTGAATTATTCTACTTTTCCATCTAGTCATATTCAGACTTCCTAGGAGTTTGGTTTACCTGGATCATCTCAAACTCTCAGTTTCTCCACTTAATTACAATTTTACTGCTCCATGTCTAACTCGGAATTTTTCCTATCATGTTTCTGTATATCTCCATATTTACTAACTCTCCCAAAGGAAACCTATGGGTAATCCACATTAGTGAACACAGAGGCCCACTCTCGGTTTCTGTGATGCTCATCTTCTGACTCCTCTCTTACAGCTCCCTTGCTTCCTTCTTATTCTACCTCCCTTTAGCTTTGCAACTTTTGTGTATATTTCTTGACCTTCACTTTCACTCTGTGTTTTCTTATGCACTTCCATCTCTATGTCCAGAGTTTCATTTAACATCTTGATATTGAATGTTTACAAATCTGCATCTCAAGTTGACCTTCTTCTCTTGAAAGCCAAGCTCAAACATTCATCTGTTGAAAAGACATATGCAGGTGGATGTCCCAGACATCTTAAAATAAAGAAGTCTAGGATTGAATTTGCTGTCTATTGCTCTTACTGAGTTAATAAACAATCCTGTGTTTAAGGTAAAATCTTGGATTTGGTTTGCTTTTGCATTTACAAAAGAAGAAGGCTGTGTATATAATGTAAATTTCAAAAGAGTATTAGAAATTTCACAAAATAAAGAAAATCTCTAAACATGCTTCTTTATTACCTTTCCATCATTCCTCCCCAGATAAAACCCTATCTGCTCAAAGGGAACAAAATACATTAAGTAACACTGAAAACTCAAATATAAAAGCAGAGTTGGCCCAGAGGAACAAATGACAATACCAATGTTGCTTAAAGGAGACCAACCTTGCATCAACAGTAGATAGGATGAGCTGGATTTGGTGAACTTGTGTACTTAACTGTGAGGAAAGGACTGCTTACCACACAAAGTTAGTGATGTGGATAATTTAATTGTAGAAAAGAGGAACCATGGATTATTACAGAATGCATCAGATTCTGACCTTTAGTACCCACAGTCTAGAAAGCATGGTAAATTATCCACCACTGTACCCAGGAGACTTTTCTCTGCCTTGTAAGGCTTCTGGAGCAAGAAAGCTAAAATATCTGGATCATATTCTGAACTTTTACACAATTATGAACATTAATTTCAAGTATCTTTTTGAGGAAACTGTGGTTACATGAATGTGTCTTATACCAGCTTGGCACACAAGCTAGAGTTATCTGAAAGGAGGGAACCTCAGTTGAGAAAATGCCTTTATAAGATCTGCTGTAGGGCATTTTCTTATTTATGAGTGGTGATAGGTGGGAGAGGGTCCAGACCGTTGCAGGTGATGCCATTCCTGGACTGGTAATCTTGGGTTCTATAAGAAAGTAGGTTGAGCATGCCATAGGGTAAAAGCCAGTAAGCAGGACCCTTCCACAGCCTGTGTATCAGCTCCTGCCTTCAGGTTCCTGCCCTGTTTCTGCTATGGAAATGTAAGTCAAATAAAGCTTTTCCTCCCTCCTCAGCTTGCTTTTTGGTCATTGTGTATCACTACAGCACCAGAAACCCTAACAAAGACAATGAGCAAAACAAGGGTCTGAAAACACAACTGGATTTGTCAATGTGTTCTATGGAAATGTGTCATAGAACTGAGATAATTGAGATAGATGATGGTTCATGTAAAATGCTCTAATTCCCCAAGTGAATAACAAAATCCAGATTAAAGCATCCACAGTAATAGTGCTTTTAAAAGCAAGCTCAGCAATGTTGGTCAGTTTGTTGGTTGAGATTTTACACGGGGTTTCACCATGTTTCTTAGGTTAGCCTCAAATTCATATCCTACTGCTTGTTAGATTACATGTATATCATGTTGACTTTCAAGAGTGTTACTTTTGTTTATTTATCTTAAATTTTATTTTATAATATTGGGATCTGACTGAGGGCCTCACATGCTGAGGTGCATTTTGGGCCGCAGAATGTTCTCAAAAGAGCATTTCTCAAGACCTCTATGAGCTATCCAAACTCAAGTGTATTTTCACAATGCTCCTAGTAACCCACGATATTCCTAGTGGTTCCTTTTTTATCACTGGGGTTTGACTAGAGTCACTAGATGAGAAAATTTGTATGTTATTGTTAATTGCCATTAAAATTTATATTTTAAAATTCAATGAAAGAGGGATCTGGAGAGATGACTCAGTGGTAAAGAATGCACACTGTCCTTAAATAAAGCTGAAGCTTCAATCCCATCACCCACAGCAGAAGGTTCACTACTTCCTGCAACTCTCTCTTAATGGAGGTACCTGCTGCCCTCTTCTGGCCAATGTGAGCATAACATGCATGTAGTGCACATATATTCATACAGATACTCACATTTAATAGGGACAAGAAATACTTAATGCACATATAAAACTTAGGGAACTCTGAAATGACTAACAGTAAGATTCGGGAAAACTTTAGTCAAGTTAAAATTGCTTTTTCATGTAAAAAAACTAATAATCACATTACCCACGTCTTGCTTATTACAGCATAGCAAGTTCACTACAATCAATCTTTCCCTCAAACCATTACTTTGCTATGATATTAAAAGAGGAGCAATGACTACTTAAAAGATAAAAAAGAGGAAATATTTAGAAAATCTGCTTTTTTGTGCATATATATTCAATCCTGGATCTCCAGATCCCTATATCGGTACCTAGTGCTGGAAGCTCTCATGAAACACTCCAATCCCCTATTCCTTCATCCTTCTTTTCTTCATGACAATAACAGTATGTCTTGAAAGGAGGGTAAGAATAGAGTGTGGTGATACATGCAAGCCATTAGCCCTGATGATTGGCATATATTAAGGATTCACTTTCAGTGTTTTGAGTTTTATTAAAGAACCCCATTAGACACCACCCTAATAAGTGGCAATGTCATGAGCTATGTAAAACTGGTGCCAGTGATTTACGGCAGAACACACCTGTACTTCTTCCGGACATCCACTGTCCACCCAGTCCTGCCGGTGGCGATCGAATCCACTGGAGCATCTTCAAAGACCCATTGTTGGAGAGAGGAAGCATAGCATGTAGGGAGGGGAACAGAAAGAAAAAGACTGGTAAATAGACAGTTATCAGATTTCTAGCCTTGTATAGCCTCAATGTACCATTCACCGAGTGACTTCACTCACTGAATCCCTGCTCCAGGGTCAGCATCTCACAGAGCAAGCCATCACTCCCAACTCCTCCCACACTACACAACGCTGGTGTAACCCTAAGCAAAATAAACAAATCGCTATTACATAATGTTGGATTGCTTTCCCTCGTTTTCCCAGTTATTCACTAAAATAAATGCATAGAAATCATTTGTAGTCATCATTTTAAAAATATTTCTTATTCATTTATTTATGTATCCCCATCTCATAAACACTCGATTGTGTAGTAAACTCAAAGGTTTAAAGTCTTCAAACAGCTTCCATGGGATAACCTTTAAACTAATGATTCTCAACCATCCTAATGTTGCAACCCTTTAATACAGTTCCTCATGTCATGGTGACCCCCAATCATATAATTATTTCCATGGCTACTTCATAACTGTAATTTAGCTATGGTTATGAGTCTTAATGTAAATATCTGGTATGCAGGATATCTGATATGCTACTTTTGTAAAGGGCCATTTGGCCACAAAGGGGTTGTAAGTCACAGTTTGAGAACCAACACGTTATTCCCTGGTATAACCTGCTCGATTAAAAGGTGATCTTAACTCTTGACTGTACAAGAGAGACTATGCTGATAATGTGACGTGTTAGGAATGTCAGTTAGTTCCAGGATAGATTCCTGGTCTGTTCTGAATAGGTTGAGTTCTGGAGACCTTGAGCCTGAGATACAAATGAGATTTAAGGCAGCCATTCATCCCTGCCGGACTGATCCTCAAGGCGAACCCTAGACATCAAAGCAGGGCGAGCTTCTTATGTTGTCACACATTGCTGTCAAGAGAACAACTGGAAGCTACTCCTAGTCTCACAAGGTTTGCTGGGCTATGTCCTATGAATCTTTTCCCAATCCTACTTCTAATTCATTTTCTTTCCCTATAATAAGTGGCAACCTTATTATAACAACTTTTCTGTGCCATGTAAGTCTCTCCAGTGATCTTGAGTGTGTTTGAAGGAAATGTTCAGCTATGCATGATTAGGTCACTCCAAAGATGTCTGATTTGGCAAGTATCACATCAATAAAATCGTGTTCAGAGTCTTTCCCTCAATGGGAATACTTTTCTGTCTGTTTTATCTGGCCTTTACAGCACATTCGTTGTTAAGACCCAGCAGTTTCAACCCAGAGCATGACCCAAAGAAGCTTCGTAAAGTGCTGTGACCAACTGTTTTACTCTTCTTCTTCCCTCATAAAACAGTTCATTTACCTTTACCTTTTTAAATAATAATTTTGGTGTGTTATGTGTATATGTGTGTGTGTCTGTGTGTGGTATATATGTGTAGTATGTGTTTATGCGTGCTTGTGGGTGTGCAGGCCTGGGACACACAGGGGCTAGAAGAGGATGACAGGTGTCCTGTTCTGTCATTCAAACAAACTTTCTCACTGAACCAGTAATGAGGCTGGTGGCCATCAACCCCCAGAAATCTGTAGAGGTAGCTCCAACCTCCCAAAGCACTAAGGTTACAGGTGCATAAGTGACTCCACTCAGTTTTTGTCAAGAATTTGTGGGATTTGAACTCAGAGCCTTAAATCTGTATAATAGTGTTCTTACCACTGATTCATCAACCCAGTTCCCAGTTACTCATGACTTAATGGCTAAATTTGATTGAGATCATTTTAAATTGAAGTCAGACTATCATACTGATTATATCTAATATATCTGACTCTTAAAATCTTTTTGCATAGAAATTTAAATTAGTTTTGTCAGTCTATTGGTATTAAGGATATTTATACTCCCCTTAATTTTAATAATTGAATATATATTTATAGTTAAGAATGTGGTGCTGTATTTTAATCTAAACGGAATTTATTTACTTAGCAAAATAAATGTCATCCAATTCTTACTTAATATTTATTATGGTTTTAATTTGCAACTGTTCTTTTGGTCTTTGTTTTGAAATAAGTTCACATTACGGCTTTTTCTAAGAATCCTCACCAGAGACAAGGTTCTGCCCAAGAGAGCATAATTCAATTCAATGGAATGTGAAAACAACCTTTCTGTCAGCAAGACAGACCATATTTATCATTCTCTCCAGACTGACCCATTGAAAGATCAACCCATTGGATTCTGTGTTATACCAAACACCTGCATTGAACAAGCTCAAGGGTGGCATAAAGGTCCATGTGAGCGTTGGCATCCTGATGCTGCGGATCTTTATGTGGCTGTAGCTTTTTTTTTCCTTTTTTGTTTTGAGCTCTACCTTTTCCTCTGCTCACCTCCCTACCTCTCCCCTCCCCTTCAACACTCTCCTAAAGTCCCCATGCTCCCAATTTAATCAGGAGATCTTGTCTTTTTCTACTTCCCATGTAGATTAAATCTATGTATGTCTCTCTTAGGGTCCTCGCTGTTGTCTAGGTTCTCTGGGATGGTGATTCATGGGCTGCTTTCCTTTGCTTTATGTTGCTGTTGCTCAATGACACTGTGGGATGTGGTGTTTATTTATTTCTGGGTTAGTGAGATGGCTGCTGTACCTTCTTATCTGTCACCTGTTTAAATATTAAAGAATGTGTTAATACTTACTTTTGGAAGCTATGAATATAGCAATTTTTTGAAAAAAGAAAAAGTCCTTAAGAGTTGCTTGATCACTAGTATTTACAGATAATTTTAAAATGTAGTTTGTTTTAATATACTCTTACTTAAAAGTTTCACTTGGATATACTAATTTAACTTATAATAAACTTGTACCAAATCTTAACAATTGTGACACAGGCTAATTTCTTAACTTAGAAAAAATAGTCATTTCATTTGCTAAATTTACCAGGGAAAAAAACAGAATACACAGTTTCCTTGATTTATTAAACAATCCTCAAGTTATAGTGTGTGAAATTAAGTTCTGTGTGAAGTCAATTAAGTAACTCATTTTGTTTATTTATTCACAGTTCATTTCCTAATAATTTTTCTGTAGTTTATGAAAATTGGGAAGGACTGAGGATTTGCTTTGGAAATGGCCAAAACTAGGACCAGGTAGGCTGCTCAATGAGGTAAGGGCTTTCCAATCAAGTGTGAAGATCTGAGTTGAGGTACCCAGCACTTAGGAAACAGTGGGTGATGTAGGCTGGGTCCCCAGTCACAGTGCCAGGAAAGTACAGATTGGGTTAGACTGGCCCATGCACAGCTGGAGAAAACATGTTGAAAATGAAGGATATGAGCTAGACTTCATCTTAGCAACATTTTTGTTGCTTTTAAATGCTCGATTATATTGTGACAAATTGGAATTCAATTTCCTTCAGTTGTCTGTATTGCTGTGTGTCCACTCAAAAGCTATTACTTCAGTACTAAAAACATTTCCCTGAGGCTTGATGGCTGGCTTGTCTAGTTGAATCTGTTAGGCGATGATTCAGACAGGAAAAGAGTGATTAAGGAAGACATTCAACACTGACCTCTGGTATCTACATTCATGTGTGCAATCAGGTGCACATGTGCCTGCATGCACATGATACATATGTACCTACAGACATACCTACATGGAAACTGGTAAAACTGAGGTCTTCTTTTCTGATTTTACTTTATATTTACTGATATAAATAGTATCCAACAGCAATCGGTACATGTATGCTATGTAAATTTAAATGATTTCTAAACTGTATGAAAATAAAAGGAAAGCACTCTGGGGAAGACTTTCCCGTCTCCATTGAGACACTTTTTAGCCTTCTCTGTCTCTTCAACACAGTCCTACAAAGAGTGACCCTGGCCGTGGCGTGTCTTCTTAGTATGTAGATTTTCCAACATTTTAACAGTGTTAATCTGCAATGCCTGCTAACTGAGTGAACTGAGCAAGATTCTCTGGCAACCGGAACTCAGTCGTTTCCACTGTAAGCAAGCATTTCCCTTCGTTACTCATTTCAAACAGACATTCAGAAATTACTGTTTTCCTGTAGGCTGTGACCAGGACCAATGACCACTTCTCCAGTCCACCTATTGCAACCCACCCTTGTCTGTGCCCATCACAGCCAACAGAAGCAAACGGCTTGCCTTTGGCTGCTATTGCTATGTTCTTTCACACTGCAGAAGTCTGGAATACCCAATTAGTCGATCCAAAATGCAAGCCTTCTCTCCGCTCAGAGAGATACCCTTCTCCCATCAACTTTGTCAGCACATCCTGCTCCGAGGGCCTCAATACGGAGTACAAGTATCAATGTTACAATTGGCTGTGCTCGATTGATCCTGCCAGGCTTTCAAGAAAGCATGATTCAAAGTAAGGTGTTTGAATTAGAACTTTTTCTAAGGTGTGTTTTCCTCTCTATTCTTTTCAGATTTGTCTGTGTGTGTGTGTGCAGGCAGGCATGACTGTGCATGCACATTTGGCGAATGTATGTGCCTGTGGAGGTCAGAGATATCAAATCCCCCTGGAGCTGAAGCTGGAATTGCAAACGATTCTGAGCTTCCTGGCTGAGATGCTGGGAACAGAACTTGGATCCTCCCTAGAGCAGCAAGCACTCTTAACCACTGAGCCATTTCACCACCCCACAATTTCCCTTACTTAACAACAACAACAAAAAGATTCTATTGTATTGTGACAACTGGAATTTGTTTTTGTTTTTGTTTTCTTTCAATTGTCAGCTTTGTCTGCTGCATTTCCACTACCAAGATATTACATAGGTAGCAAAGATAAGTAAGATATTCCACATTGCTATGGTAAAGCAGGCATTCACACACACACACACACACTTATATATTTATTTGAAATAAAGTGATATCACAATATGGGTTAATTCAATTAAATTCATTAACATATTTATCTACCACCTCAAATAGTTTAATTTTAGACTGAAAAATTTGAAATTTTATCTTTTCTAATGATTTAAAAACTATGCAATAGTCTATTACTTTAGTAGTAGCT